CAATGTAATTTTTTGTTTTACATTTATTATGGTTTATTTTTATATACTATAATTGTATCTGACAATTACACTATTGAAGCCTAGATGCCCAGGTCAAAGTGTGGACGTGTCAGTATGCATTGGTGAAATTGACCATAACCCTATATGGCCTCAACTTTTTTGGGATGGACACATATTTTAAATGGCGTTTTAAATCAGAATGTACAGTATCTCACAGAAGTGAGCACACCCCTCACATTTTTTGTGACAACACTGAAGAAATTACACTTTGCTACAATGTAAAGTAGTGAATGTACAGCTTGTTTAACATGTAAATTTGATGTTCCCTCACAATAACTCAACACACAGCCATTAATGTCTAAACCGCTAGCAACAAAAGTGAGTACACCCCTAAGTGAAAAATGTCTAAATTGGGCACAAAGAGTCAATATTTTGTGTGGGCGCCATTATTTTCCACTACTGCCTTAACCCTCTTGGGCATGGAGTTCACCAGAGCTTCATAGGTTGCCACTGGAGTCCTCTTCCACTCCTCCATGACGACATCACAGAGCTGGAGAATGTTAGAGACCTTGTGCTCCTCCACCTTCTGTCTGAGGATGCCCCACAGATGCTGAATAGGGTTTAGGTCTGGAGACATGCTTGGCCAGTCCATCACCTTTACTCCCAGCTTCTTTAGCAAGGCAGTGGTCGTCTTGGAGGTGTGTTTGGGGTCGTTATGTTGGAATACTGCTCTGCGGCCCAGTCTCCCAAGGGAGGGGATCATGCTCTGCTTCAGTATGTCACAGTACATGTTGGCATTCATGGCTCCCTCGATGAACTGTAGCTCCCCAGTGCCGGCAGCACACATGTAGCCCCAGACCATGACACTACCACCACCATGCTTTACTGTAGGCAAGACACACTTGTCTTTGTGCTCCTCACCTGGTAGCCGCCACACACGCTTGACACCATCTGAACCAAATCAGTTTATCTTGGTGTCATCACACCAAATTTAACACACCTGCTCTCCATTCACACCTGAGACCTTGTAACACTAATGAGTCACATGACATTGGGGAGGGAAAATGACTAATTGGGCCCAATTTGGACATTGTCACTAGACATTAATGGCTGTGTGTTGAGTTATTTTGAAGGGACAGTAAATTTACATGTTATACAAGCTGTACACTCACTATATCATATTGTAGCAAAGTGTCATTTCTTCAGTGTTGTCACATGAAAAGATAGAACCATATATTTACAAAAATGTGAGGGGTGTACTCACTTCTGTGCGATACTGTGGTTGAGCAATCAACACAAACGTTTAAACAAGGTTACTGCATCCCTTCTGTGTATACTTCCCTGCACTTAAAGTGTATAAATAGGGTAAAATATATAAATTCCTTTTATTTGCTCCCTTTTGGTTTGTTATATACTGCATAATATACAGCAATGAAAGTGTTTGTTATATCTGTTTAATAAGCGCATAAGAATACCTGTTGATCCTGTGAAAAATGCAATGAGGAGGAAAGAGTGGGAAGGGTTAGAACCTCTATTTTATGGCTATCTGGTGTAGCACCTTCCTAGCGTAGGATGCTAGGTAAATGTATTTTTTGGCTCTTTTTGTAGTCAAGGGAGCAGTGATCATTTGTCCTGGTCTGTTCCTTCCTTGCTACACAGGCTCTCCTCTCTGGGATACGTTGAGGCAGTGGAGATCCTCTTATCCAGCAACCAGCCTGTAGGTAGGACCCCTCTCTGGGGTCCCCTCCCAGGTTACACACACCAGCCTTCCTCACTCCATCTTCCACCTGACAATGACAATTGCTCCCCAGGCACTGTCACATTTAAGGGTTGGCTTGGTCACCATGCCCAACCTCCAGCCAGAGGATTGGCCAAGATCCCTTAAACATGAAGATCCAGGCCTCCTCTTCTCCTCCAGAAAGCTCTTAGGTTTATGGAAAGGTGGGAGGGCTCCAGAAGCCCTGACCTGTTAGAGCCTCACAGCCTGTCCTGAGGTGACCTCACTACTCACTCCTCAGGCTGCTTCTCATCCTCTAACAAATATCCTACCTAACATGGATGGCTTTACAAAGGTAATAGAGGGGAAATCTTCCAATAGGGACACTAGTTGTGGTGACCTGCGAGTCCCCAAGGACTTCTCTTAATTCAGTGCCCTGATGATCGGTGCCCAGCAGTGACACCCCGCAAGTTCCGCCCAGCAGTGCGCCCACTAGCTCCGCCCACCCGTGCCCAGCAGTGCACCCACCTGTGCCCAGCAGTGCCCCACCTGTGCCCAGCAGTGCACCCACCTGTGCCACTCTGCAGTGCCACCTACCTGTGCCCAGAAGTGCCACCTACATGTGCCCAGCAGTGCCACCCACCTGTGCCCACCCACACCTGTGCCCACCAGTGCCACCCACCTGTGCCCACCCACCAGTGCTGCCCACCAGTGCCACCCACCAGTGCAGCCCAGCAGTGCTGCCAGTCAGTGCCACCAGTCAGTGCCCAGGGGTTGTGCCAGTCAGTGCCGCCAGTCAGTGCCCAGCAGTGGTGCCAGTCAGTTCCGTCTATCAGTACCCATAATCGGTGTCACCTATCAGTGCCGCCTATCAGTGCTGCATATCAGTGCCGCCTATCCGTGACCCCTAATTAGTGCTGTCTATCAGTGCCGCCTATCCGTGCCACCTCATTTAGTACTGCCTATCAGTGCCCTTTTGTGCTGCCTATCAGTGCCCATCAGTGCCGCCTATCAGTTCCCATCAGTGCTGCCTCATCAACGCACATCAGTGAAGGAGAAAAAATACCTGTTTGAAAAATTTTATAAAAGAAATAAATAAACTTTTTTTTTTTTTCACATTTTTTGCACTTTTTTTATTTATAGCGCAAAAAGTAAAGCACCCAGTGGCGATTAAATACCACCAAAAGAAAGCTCTATTTGTGAGAAAAAAATGATCAAAATTTCATATGGGTACAATGTTGCATGACCGTGCAATTGTCAATCAAATTGCGGCAGCGCTGAAAGCTGAAAATTGGCCTGGTAAGGAAGGGGGTATAAGTGCCTGGTAGGCAAGTGGTTAAACTGTGTTATCAGAGTTGTTGTGAATGGACCAATGCTTGAGATGTTGGGCAGCCTCTCTACTTTTAGGGAGGAACTAGTTATTACTAGCAGCTCCTACGGTATGGCTCAACACTGGTTTTTGCCTTGACGCACACTTTAACTCTTTTGTAACAAGATGTTCAAACCAAATATAACATTTTTATGTTTTTTTTTATACTATAATTGCATCAGACAATTACAGTATTAAAGCCTAGATGCCCAGGCCAAAATTTAGAAGTATCAGTACGCATTGGTAAACGTGACTATAACTCTATAGTGGCAATTAATTTTTTTCACCCAACTTTGTTTGGCTGGAAACCTATTTTAAATGGCGTTGTAAATCTGCATACAATTCAGCTATAGATAACAAAGGTAAAAGTGCATACAAGGTCACTGCATCCCCATAGTTAATATTTGTCTCACAAAAAAGATGTGTTTTTTTATTTTATCTGGACTGGATTTATGCTATGCAGTCAGTGCAAACAGGGCTTAATAGAGCCCTTCATTACCTAAAGTACACATGCCCATCACCTTCTTTATATCTGGAATGCCTGGAGATCCAAAATAACATGTATTATGAACACTAAATAATGGTGAAAATAATAAAACGCTTTCTAAAAGGAAAAGGTAGCCGACTACATCTCTAAAGATAAAAAAAAAAAAAAAAAAACGAAAAGCAATGGAAAATGTACCGCAAAAGCTCTCCCTTTAAGTGGCTTTAAACAAGCTTATTTTCCAGCTAGCTGCCCATTCTGTCTTCTGCCCTGGTGCACCCTGCCACAATAACATGTTATTAGTTCAAACATCGTGTTGCTGTGCAGCAAACTCCGATAATTTGTGTCTCCCTTGTGTCGCCTGTTATTGTGCAGTCAGAATTTTTCTTTGGATCTCGCTCGACACATTGTGACACCTTCATATTCATTTCTGCAGAAAATTACCCGCACACAAAGGGCCTGTGATGAGACAAAGAGGTGCCGATGATTTGTCAGCAATCTCTCGGAGGGCATCGGGGAAAAAAAAAAAAAAAAACTTTTTTCCATAAAAAGTTCCAATTAACAGAATAGCTTTTTTTTTGTTGTTGTTGTCACCTGTCTGGCTGCAGTTTTGAAATTTTTACTGCCTCACACAAGATGTATTGCGCTCCTATATATCTTGCAACAAGTGACCATTAGCCGGGAGAGTGACAAGATCGTAATTACCTCGGGATAAAAGCAGATGTCGGTGACGGAGGCTGAAGAGTTGAATGTCAGGTTTTTTGAGGTAATTGATTTGTCGAAATCACACCACAGCTGTGAGGAGAGAAAGAGGGGAAAAATATGGAACATTAATTGCAGGGAAATGAAAACATATCTAACTATAGAATTCATAAAGTAATATAAACAATGTAAATATAATGAATGAGACATATTGGTTAGGACAGCCATTCTCAACCAGGGTTCCTCCAGAGGTTGGACGGGATTCCTTCACTTGTAGCTGATTGACCTCCTACCTAATAGTGCCTACCTAGTTCCAGGGCAGGTGCCACTTTGCAGACCCGACAACATCACACCAATGATCTTTTTAGATATCTGTAAGGGTGGCAGCCTGACCAAAACTGTAAGGGGAGCATTATTCCCACTGACCACCAATAAAAGCAGCATTCTTCCTACTGACCGCCAATCTAAAGAGCATTCTTCCCAACAACCACCAATGTAAGGAGGATTTTTCCCAAAAACCACCAATCTAAAGAGTGTTCTTCTCACTGACCGCCAATGCAAGGAGCATGCTTCCCAAAAGCCACCAATGTTAGGTGCATTCTTCCCTCTGATCACCAATGTAAGGGGCATTCTTCCCACTGATTACCAATGTAAAGGGCATTCTTCAAACTGACAACCAATGTAAGGAGCATTCTTCCCACTGATCACCAGTGTAAGGAACATTTTTTCCCACTGACCTCCAATGTAGGGAACATTCTTCCCACTGACCACTAATGCAAGGAACATTCTTCTAAAAGCTACCAATGTAAGGAGCATTCTTCCCTCTTATTACCAATGTAAGGGGCATTCTTCTGACTGACGACCAGAGTAAGAAGCATTCTTTCTACTGACCCCCAATGTAAGGAGCAGTCTTCCTACTGACTGCCAATCTAAAGAGCATTCTTCCCAACAACTACCAATGTAGAGGGCATTTTTCCCAAAAACCACCAATTTAAAGAGCGTTCTTCTCACTGACCACCAATGCAAGGTGCATTCTTCCCACAAGCCACCAATGTTAGGTGCATTCTTCCCTCTGATTACCTAAGTAAGGTGCATTCTTCCCTCTGATTACCAATGTAGGGGCATTCTTTTCACGGACGACCAATGTAAGAAGCATTCTTTCCTCTGATCACCAATGTAAAGAGCATTCTTCCCACTGATTACCAATCTCAAGAGCATTCTTCCCAACAACCACCAATGTAAGGGGCATTCTTCCCAAAAACAACCCATCTAAAGAGCGTTCTTCCCACTGACCGCCAATGCAAGGAACATTCTTCCCAAAAGCCACCAATGTAAGGAGCATTCTTCCCACTGATTACCAATCTCAAGAGCATTCTCCCAACAACTACCATTGTAAGGGGCATTCTCCCAACAACTACCAATGTAAGGGGGCATTCTTCCCACTGATTACCAATGTAAGGAGCATTCTTCCCACTGACCACCAAGGTAAGGAGCATTCTTTCCACTGACCACCAATGTAAGGAGCATTTTCCCCTCTGATCACCAATGTAAGGAGCATTTTTCTCTCTGACCTTCAATGTAAGGAGCATTCTTCCCACTGACCATCAATGCAAGGGACATTCTTCCCAAAAGCTATCAACGTAAGGAGCATTAATCCCTCTGATTACCAATGTAGGGGCATTGTTTTCACTAATGAAGAAAGTAAGAAGCATTTTCCCCACTAATTACTCGAGTAAGGGGCATTCTTCCCACTGGCCATCAATGTAAGGAACATTCTTCTGATGACCAATGTAAGGAACATTTTCCCCTCTCACCTTCAATGTTAGGGACATTCTTCCCATGACCACCGATGTAAGGAGCATTCTTCCCAATGATTTCCAATATAAGGAGCATTCTTCCCACTGACCACCAATGTAAGGAGCATTCTTCCCAATGATTTCCAATATAAGGAGCATTCTTCCCACTGACCACCAATGTAAGGAGCATTCTTCCCAATGATTACCAATATAAGGAGAATTCTTCCCACTGACCACCAATGTAAGGAGAATTCTTCCCACTGACCACCAATGTAAGGAGAATTCTTCCCACTGACCACCAATGTAAGGAGCATTCTTCCCAATGATTACCAATATAAGGAGAATTCTTCCCACTGACCACCAATGTAAGGGGAATTCTTCCCACTGACCACCAATGTAAGGGGCATTCTTCACACTGACCACCAATGTAAGGGGCATTCTTCCCAATGATTACCAATATAAGAAGCATTTTTCCTACCGATGACCAATGTAAGGAGCATTCTTCCCAATGATTACCAATATAAGGAGCATTTTTTCCCACTGATGATCAATGTAAGGGGAATTCTTCTCAATTAATTAATTTTTGCAGGGGTCCTGCGAGACCTAAGAATTATTTTAAGGGTTCCTCTGGAGTAAAAAAAATTGAGAAAAAGGTTGGTTTAGGGCTTCACAGTAAGACGTCTGAAACATTCACAGGTGTTTTAGACGCTTACTCCCCAACTATTATCAATTACATTTTCTGATTTTTTTTTGTTTTTACTTTGTCTTTTTTATTTAAATGCATTTTTATTAGAACATTTTTTTCAGGTTTTCAATTACAGTGTGTTTTCACACAGGAAATAACTGAATAGATGGTCGACTGATAGACAACCTCAAAGAGTTGGTTGTAAACCCTTCCATATGTCCAGTGAAGTGGCTGGTGATACACAGAGATGAAACAAACCCTCCTACAAAGGTTGAACCTGTTTATCTGTAGCTCTGTCTCCTTTACATTCATTCAAAGTGAAGAATATACACAGGGTCTCTCAGCTCTGAAAAGCAGGGGGCAGAGAGCTGAAGTTACATCAGTGAGGAGAGCTCTGAGAGCTGATTGGAGGGAAGGGACACCCCACCAAATCAATAAAGCACACAGGAACAGAGCTGAGACTGTCAATCACAGGATGTGCCCTCCTCTGTCAGCAGATAGAAATTATGCTTAGTACTCTGGATTGAGACAAGTTGAGGGATATACTTTGTTCATATTTTATGTCTGAGTTTTACAATCACTACAGCAGATACTGAACACAGCAGCACACAATATAAAAAGTAATAGCAGCATTCCTGTAATATACAGTCAATTGAAATTTACGGAGTGATAGTCTTCAAGATCTATATTACTGTGTGATCAGTCAACTGAAGGTCGTTGTCCTAGTGAACTAGAGTGCAGAATCTAAATCTTGACAACATATCAAAAAAAGTATTGTAGCCAATGAGAATTGTAGTACTCTGCATTCACTATATCCGGTCTCCCCGGACCCTGCAATCACTATATTTGCTCTCCCCGGACCCTGCATTCACTATATCTGGTCTCCCCGGACCCTGCATTCACTATATCTGATCTCCCCCGGACCCTGCATTCACTATATCCGGTCTCCCCGGACCCTGCAATCACTATATTTGCTCTCCCCCGGACCCTGCATTCACTATATCTGGTCTCCCCGGACCCTGCATTCACTATATCCGCTCTCCCCGGACCTTGCATTCACTATATCCGCTCTCCCCCGACCCTGCATTCCCTATATTCGGTCTCCCCGGCCCTGCATTCACTATATCTGGTCTCCCCGGACCTTGCATTCACTATATCCGCTCTCCACGGACCCTGCATTCACCATATCCACTCTCCCCAGACCCTGCATTCACTATATCCAGTCTCCCGGGACCCTGCATTCACTATATCCGGTCTCCCCGGACCCTGCATTCACTATATCTGCTATCCCCGGACCCTGCATTCACTATATCCGGTCTCCCCGGACCCTGCATTCACTATATCTGGTCTCTCTGGACCCTGCATTCACTATATCTGGTCTCCCTGGACCGTGCATTCACTATATCTGGTCTCCCCGGACCCTGCATTCACTATATCTGGTCTCCCCGAACCCTGCATTCACTATATTCGGTCTCCCTGGACCCTGCATTCACTATATCTGGTCTCCCTGGACCCTGCATTCACTATATCCGGTCTCCCCGGACCCTGCATTCACTATATCTGGTCTCCCTGGACCCTGCATTCACTATATCCGGTCTTCCCGGACCCCACATTCACTATATCTGGTCTCCCTGGACCCTGCATTCACTATATCTGGGCTTCCCGGACCCTGCATTCACTATATCTGGTCTCCCCGAACCCTGCATTCACTATATCCGGTCTCCCCGACCCTGCATTCACTATATCCGGTCTCCCCGAACCCTGCATTCACTATATCCGGTCTCCCTGGACCCTGCATTCACTATATCTGGACAGCACTGACTGGCCCTGTGCTGATCACATGCACAGGGCAAGAAAAAAAAAAACCTCTCTAGCAATACACAGCAAACTGAGCTTGTGTAGAGTGACTCCACACAATATGTCTTATCAGGAGACAGAGGGGGACACTGGAAGAAGGGGAGGAACAGAGAAGTCAGCCTCTCTAGCAATACACACTAAACTGAGCATGTGCAGAATGGCTACAGGTTCAGTTCATCTTATCAGGAGATAAGACATGGACATTTGAACAAGAGGAAGATCAGAGAAGTCAGGATCAAACATCCTTTTTACACAATGCAGAGGATTACCCCCTTAGGTTCCACAGTGAGTATAACAAGCATGCTTTACTGCATATACAGACTGATTGTACTGTTGTGGGTTTAGTAACACTTTAATACACAATGATACATTGTTTACCAGCTGATCTCTTTACCATGTTACTCTAAACATCAGCGATACAGGAACAGAGCACTTTGGTTCTTAGATAACATGTGACAAGTTCTCCAACCCTATGGATTTTTCATCATTCATTTTCATTCATTGTTTTTGTATTTGGTTTAGAGAAAAGTACGTTTATGTCATTTAATATGAAACTTTTATGACACCGTAAAGCCCTTACGCCCTGTATACAGCCTGACCTTCTGTTGCACAGCCTTTAAGGAATTCCTTAGCTTTCGTTATTCCTAAGCTGCAATCCATTTAAACTGGTATTTTATTGCTGATATCCAAAAACGAAATTGCATTATCACTGAGGCAGAAATTTACGGTGCCAGCGGGTTTTATTGGGCCCTCTAACTATGCTGTATAAATGAAATATTGTTGTCATAGTCCTTTATGATTTTTTTTTTTTACTGCTGTGCTAAGTACTTTTTCTTTCCAGATCAATATAGTTATTGGTGTATTCATCTGTGCCATCATTTATTCCAGTGCCTGAGGGGTGAGAGCGTTCAACAAGTATTTCAAGGGAAACTGTGACTAATATAAGGTCCATCACCTTATCAGTGTATGTTAGGGTTCGTTCACATCAGCGGGCATGTGTTTTGTGTTACAACACACCACTCTGTTTTTTTTAAACTTTATTGAGATGTCACAAAATGACATTTCGTTCAGTGTTGTGCACAATGCATCGCAACACACTGTGCAAAGATACATCCCCTACTTTTTTTTAGTGCACACCAATGCAACAGACAGGCATAAAGTAAGTCAATAGGACATAAGGCAAAGTGCCTTGTCTATGCGATGGATCTGAATTGGGCATAGTTACCCAACGCCACCCAACATATATGGTGGGAATGGGCTTTTAAAGTGCTAACCATTTAGCCGCACGGTGGCTAAATGGTTAAAACTTCTGCCATCCCAACCATTGCACTACCTGCTTATGTTTGCATCTTCTCCCTGTGCTTGCGTGGGTTTTCCTCCAGGTACCGGGTTGGACTTCCTTTTGCCTTCAGAATGGGCAGCACAGTGGTAAATGGTTAGCATTTCCGCCTGGCAGTACTAGGGTCAATGGTTCGAATCCCAGCCACGGCACCTCCTGCCTGGAGTTTGCATGTTCTCCCTGTGCCTGTGTGGGTTTCCTCTGGGTACTCCAGTTTCCTCCCATACTCCAAAGACATGCCAGTAGGTTAATTAGCTCCTGTCTGAATTGGCCCTAGTATGTGTATGTATGAATGTAAGTTAGGGACCTTAGATTGTACACCCCTTGAGGGTTAGGGACTGATGTGAATGTACAATATATATACACTACTCAAAACAAATTAAAGGAACACTTTGAAAACACATCAGATCTCAACAGGGAAAAATCTACTGCTGGATCTCTATACTGATATGGACTGGGTAATGCGTTGGGAAATCGTTTGATGGAAATGAAAATGATTGACCTACAGAGAACTGAATTCAAAGACACCCCCCCGAAAATCAAAGTGAAAAATTGATGCAGCAGGTGAGTCCATTTTGCTGAAATGTCATTGCAGCAACTCAGAATGCTCCTCCGTAGTTTGTATGGCCCCCACGTGCTTGTATGCATGCCTGACAACGTCCTGATTGGTTTCTAGCAGAGCTATGCCAGATTTCGCACTATGCAGTTTTAGTAAATAACAATCATTACAGGGATTGTTTGCAAATGCCAAAACATTCAAATAGCAATTTATTTTATAATGGGACCCAGGCAAAGTGTCCTGAATCAAAAAAGTGAAGATTTGCCATCTTAAAAGAAAAAGCTAGAAATGTTAACTGTGTCCAAGCATTACCGTGAAAATATTATTCTTGGTCTTTAAATTCTCCTGAAAATAGCAGTGCACTCCCTGTGCCTGATAGCTGTACATGTATACTGCTCCCTGTGACCACTAATCTCACCAGATCTGGATTGTTTTTTGATCATGTTTCTAATGTGTTGCTCACTGTTCTGCTTGCTGCAGAGAAAGCTGTACCTGAGGACCTGCAGTGCAAGGATCTCCCTGCTTCTTCTTCATTCCTTCTGTGCATCCTCCACCTCTGCAGCTGTTTTTTTTTTATTAATTTCCCATAAGTGATCAGATCAGAAGTGCAACTCTGACATAAGGAGGAAAAGCCCCACCTCTACCAAGATGGCCACCTTCACAATACCTGCAGGTCTAGCTAAGCAATTCATCCACACAGCAGAAGCACAGAGGCAATCCAACTTGTCTGCTTAACACCTCAGCGCCACCTTTTCCCCCTTCTAGAGCAACCACTATGTGGTACTGATTTACCAAAGGCAAATGGGTTGTTCACTTTGCAGGGGAAGTTGCAAAGAATACCCAATCACAAGCATGAAACATAAAAAAGCAACAGTATTTGTGCTTGCACATGATTGGATGATGGAAGGCAGCAGCTCATTCACTAAGCTCTGGGGAAAATTCCCTCACAATGTGCAAATTTCATTGCAAAGTGAACACTTTATTTGCTTTTAGTGAATCATCCCTTGTGATAATGTTAGAGATTAGAAGACTGAAAGTCTTGTGAGTGATTGCTAGAAGGGAGGAACAGGGGAAGCAAGTCTGCTGGTTCATGCTGGGAGAGGGAAGCAGGGCTGAACTGTAAAGTTACTGGTGGGAGGGAGAGCAGACTCATGGCACTGAGCCACTGTGGAAGTAAAAGGCAGGGGGAGCTGAGCTGACGAGTTACTGCTGGGTAGGAAAGCATGGGAAACTTAGTTGCTAAGTCACTGCTGGGGGGGGGGGGGGGGGGGGGGGGGCAGGGGAAGCTAAGCTGCTAGGTCACTGCTGGAAGGAGGAGCAGGGGGAGCTGAGCTGCTAGGTCTGACTGCTAGGGGGGTGGTAGGAGCAGGGGGAGCTGAGCTGCCAGGTCACTGCTGGAACAAGGAGCAGGGGGAGCTGAATTGCCGAGTTACTGCTGGGTGAAAGAGCAGGGGAAGCTGAGTTGCTAGGTCACTGCTTTGAGGAGAGCAGAAGAAGCTAAGTTGCTAGGTCACTGCTGGGAGGAGGAGGAGCAGGGGAAGATGAGCTGCTAGGTCACTGCTGGGAGGAGGAGCAGAAGAAGCTGAGTTGCTAGGTCACTGCTGGGAGGAGGAGCAGGGGAAGATGAGCTGCTAGGTCACTGCTGGGAGGAGGAGAAGGGGAAGCTGAGCTGCTAGGTCACTGCTGGGAGGAGAAGCAGGGTTAAGCTGAGCTGCTAGGTCACTCCTGGGAGGAGGAGCAGGGGAAGCTAAGTTGCTAGGTCACTGCTGGAAGGAGGAGCAGGGGAAGCTAAGCTGCTGAGTTACTGCTGTGAGGAGGTAACAGAGCTACTGAGAGAACAATCTGAAAGACTTCTTCTGTGCTCTTTATGGATGAATTACTCTACAGCTATAAAGGTCAGCAATGGCTTATTTTAAAGCAGATTTACCACTTCTTAACCACTTGCCAACTGTGCTATAGCCAAATGATGGCTACAGCGTGGTTGTCCAGTTCTGGGAGGGTGTCCTATGATATCCTCCCAGAACGCCCCCTCCCATGCGCCCCCAGCAGCGTGCATCCTGCGCTGTCAGTGATCACTGTGTCCTATGGACACAGCTGATCACATGATGAGATAAAGGGCCAATCACAGCAGCCTTTTACCACGTGATCAGCTGTGTCCAGTGACACAGAACATCACCGAGTAAATACAGTTGCCGGTTATTGGCTGCACTTTCCTCACGCTGTCGCAGCATGAGGAAAGTACTGCCAAAATCCGGCAACTGTCACACAGCAGATCACTACTGATCATCAGGGCACTTAGCGCTTAGTCTACAATCGCCTAAGCTCCCACCTCACTGACAACAACCTCCTCGATCCACTACAGTCTGGCTTCCATCCTCTACACTCCACCGAAACCACCCTACTCAAAATCACTAATGACCTGCTAACCACCAAAGCTAATGGCCACTACTCAGTCCTTTTACTCCTCGACCTCTCCGCGGCCTTCGACACAGTCGACCACCCCCTCCTCCTTAATAAACTACACTCCCTTGGCATCAGAGACTCGGCTCTCCTCCTATCTCTCCCAACGCTCGTTCAGTGTTACCTATAACGCTACCACCTC